TGCCTGCAGCAGACTGACTACATCATATCAGTCTAGGAAAAGGCATGGGACAGTCTTTTTTTGTTTTGTTTTTAATTCGCTTTCATACTGTTGCTGTATATTGTGACATGTCAGGAATTTATTTGTGCAGACTTCTAAAGTTACTGAAAGGTCCACTTTAAGAGCTTTCAAACAACATCAATAGAACACTCCTTTACAAAAAGAGTCTGACGGCAACAAAGATCTCATATTGCTGTTTACAGAGTGCGGAACACAGAGGAGACGGACCGTGCACACCATTACAGCTACATGCTGGTGGCTGACATGGCCATGGTGGCTATGAGATCGATATCTGCCGACACAGAGACAAATGTCAGTCACTTTATGGAACTTCATACACGACAAAAGGTGACAGTTCCCGAGTCCTGGCGCTGATAGTGTGTCATATGAGACACCATCTAATCATCCCATAATGCAATATATATATATATATATAGTGACAACAGTACAGATTCATCTCGTCCTCAGCCGCTGCAGCCACAGAGCACATATACACGTACATACATACATATATATATATATATATATAGATGACGCTCATTCACTATTCCTCGGATCAAAGATGGAGTCAACAGACAGGCTGGAATATTTTACTCCTCCATGTGGCTGCAGCGTGTATGATACATTGTACGTTTTATCTTTAATTTGATCTTTATAAAAGCATAGAAAAAATTATTACCAAATTAACACTTCTATATGTAAACAGACATCGTATTACTTAGAAGGTCTCATGCACACGTGCGCAAATACAGGCGTATTGCCATACAGTGTATTATGTATCTGCGGCACCCGGGAGTCCCATAGGAATGTATGGACAGAACACGCTGAACGTTGGTGTATGCACAATTGGGAACGTAGGGCGGTGTGCATGTAAACGCCAGTACTCCCATTTACTTTTGTACATTGTTTTCTGAAAAAATGCCGCGGGGTAAAATTACCATCTGAAGAAATTTTTCAGCACTCTCAGATCACCACAAAGTTGCCCACAAATACGTTTCCGGGCTCCCCTGAGTAAAGCCCCGTTCACATTGAGCGATTTATCGCGCGGTAATATCGCACTCCGATGCATTTCAATGGGGCAAAGGGTCCTGCTGTTGCGGGTTGTGTGTCGCTACAGCAGGACCCTTTTTGGAGCGGATTTAGCCGCGATTCATGCTTGGTCAATGCAAGCTTGAACGCGATATCGCGCGGCAAATCGCGCAATAAGCAAATTGCGCGACAAACGCGCGATTTGCATATCGTGCAGTGGGAACGGGGCCTTAATAAAAAGCAGTTTCAGCTGCAACACTAACCCCCAAGCCAAAGCTGACTCCTGCAGTACCTGTTCTTTGCCACAAGATGTCCTCAGTCTTCTGAGTTGAATGATGCCTGGTGTCACTCAACCTGGAAGACTTAGGCCTTGTTCACACCAAGCGCGGAGCAGGTGCAGAGCAGATCAGTTGCAGACCGGATCAAAACTGCGTCCAATGTATTCCAATGGTATTTTTTGCTCCAGTTCATATATCGTAGCGTGCAGTTCCAGAGCAGGTGACAAAAATGCAGCAGGTCCTATTTTACCTGGTCTGGATCTGCAAACGCATCAAAAATGCATGCAAATGCCTGGAACGCACTGAAAGCCCATTTTAAACGTTAACATTTTAAATTTTTTTTTGCCAAAAACGCATCTAAAAGACTAGCGTGCGTGTGCAGAAACCTGACCGGATCTGCTCTGCATTTGGTGTAAACAAGGCCTTAGGAATGAAGACATTTAACCTGGAAGACTGGGGGGCGGTTAGGGGCGTCAACACGGTGCATTTTCTACATTAGTGAGGACCACCCAGCCGGGAGAAGGAGAGGTGGAGGGGAGGAAGAACCATCATAAACCCAGACTGAAGACTTCAAAAAATGAGCGCTTGCAAAAGTGGTCACTGGCCATTTACAGCTAAGCATTGGTTGTCAGTGGTCACATCATGTAACCCCCGCAAGCAATGGTGGTCAGTGGGAGCAATTTTTATCTCCACACCCCTATTGGTGGTCAGTAACAGTATTAAACTCCCCCCACCATGGGTGCCTAGTATCTGTACTATGTAAACTCCCCCCACCATGGGTGCTAAGTACCTGTACTATGTAAACTCACCCCACCATGGGTGCCTAGTACCTGTACTATATAACCTCCCCCACCATGGGTGCTAAGTACCTGTACTATGTAAACTCCCCCCACCATGGGTGCCTAGTATCTGTACTATGTACACTCCCCCCACCATGGGTGCCTAGTATCTGTACTATGTACACTCCCCCCACCATGGGTGCCTAGTATCTGTACTATGTACACTCCCCCCACCATGGGTGCCTAGTATCTGTACTATGTACACTCCCCCCACCATGGGTGCCTAGTATCTGTACTATGTACACTCCCCCCACCATGGGTGCCTAGTATCTGTACTATGTACACTCCCCCCACCATGGGTGCCTAGTATCTGTACTATGTACACTCCCCCCACCATGGGTGCCTAGTATCTGTACTATGTACACTCCCCCCACCATGGGTGCCTAGTATCTGTACTATGTACACTCCCCCCACCATGGGTGCCTAGTATCTGTACTATGTACACTCCCCCCACCATGGGTGCCTAGTATCTGTACTATGTACACTCCCCCCACCATGGGTGCCTAGTATCTGTACTATGTACACTCCCCCCACCATGGGTGCCTAGTATCTGTACTATGTACACTCCCCCCACCATGGGTGCCTAGTATCTGTACTATGTACACTCCCCCCACCATGGGTGCCTAGTATCTGTACTATGTACACTCCCCCCACCATGGGTGCCTAGTATCTGTACTATGTACACTCCCCCCACCATGGGTGCCTAGTATCTGTACTATGTACACTCCCCCCACCATGGGTGCCTAGTATCTGTACTATGTACACTCCCCCCACCATGGGTGCCTAGTATCTGTACTATGTACACTCCCCCCACCATGGGTGCCTAGTATCTGTACTATGTACACTCCCCCCACCATGGGTGCCTAGTATCTGTACTATGTACACTCCCCCCACCATGGGTGCCTAGTATCTGTACTATGTACACTCCCCCCACCATGGGTGCCTAGTATCTGTACTATGTACACTCCCCCCACCATGGGTGCCTAGTATCTGTACTATGTACACTCCCCCCACCATGGGTGCCTAGTATCTGTACTATGTACACTCCCCCCACCATGGGTGCCTAGTATCTGTACTATGTACACTCCCCCCACCATGGGTGCCTAGTATCTGTACTATGTAAACTCCCCAACATGGGTGCCTAGTACCTGTACTATATAACCTCTCCCACCATGGGTGCTAAGTACCTGTACTATGTAAACTCCCCCCACCATGGGTGCCTAGTACCTGTACTATGTAAACTCCCCCACCATGGGTGCTAAGTACCTGTACTATGTAAACTCCGTTGGTGGTCACTGGCTGTAAAATTTTATTCTGTGTTCTGCAGTAGTCAGTAATCTCCTATGCCACTATTTCTCTCTCTCGCTCCTGCTGGGAATAAGCATGTAGCATCGGGCAGGGATCACTTATGGTTCCACTGCTTGGTGCTGGAACCCAGAAAGTCTTCCTGTATATGGCACCCTGCTGCTGTTTTACAATGTACCCAACAGGTGGCAGACTTGGCTCAGGTCACACACAGAGCCGGTGGGGCGCACACAGAGAGCCGGTGGGGCTCACACAGAGAGCCGGTGGGGCTCACACAGAGAGCCGGTGGGGCGCACACAGAGAGCCGGTGGGGCGCACACAGAGAGCCGGTGGGATGCATGTGGCCCGCAGACCATGTATTGGTCACCAGTGCCTTAGATCCCTTCTACAGCTAGTACATAGTTGTGATAAAAATGTAAATTTACGTTGGACCTCCTACCTGGCTGATCCATTGCCAACACTCCTGTGTCTGGAATCATGCACAAAAAGGGGGAGGAGAGACAGATAGAAAAACTTTGTTTTTGCGTCACCTATAGGTACCCCTGTGATTCCTTAGATATGCAAACTCCTTACTCATCCCTGTCATCCAGCTGTAAACTAGGAATTTGAAATAACAGAATCATTGGTGATCCCCAGGACAGCACAAGAAAGGAAAATACTAAAGGCTGCATTTGCAAGCTTGCTTGAGTTGCAAAAAAATGAATGACAATTCTAGTTCTCCAATATCACTGTGTGAATAGTCTTGATGACCACGTGATGTATTTATGGATGTAATGTGGTTTCCACACATTAGTAACCAGGGATGACAGTCTCACCTCTGTATTGGAGACTCCAGGGGGAAGGGTTCCATGTTTATAATCCTCCAGAAGCTGTACGACCTCCTTAAGGCGACTCTGAAAAACATAAGAATGAGAGTGTTTCAGTTATAGCGCACAATCCAGGTCATGTGATCAGGCAATGAGAAGTGCCGGTATCCACCACTTTCTATCGTGTTTCTGAGTCATTCTGGTTGGTTGCTGGCGGTACCCATCTATTTTTTTCTCATTGAAACAGTGATGTCACATGCACAGTAAGGCCCATTGTGGTACGTTGATGCGTGTTATGCGGTGCATCAACATTTGTTGCGTTAAGACAGCCTATTCAAAATGAATGGGCTGCCAAAATGATTGGGCTGCCACAACGAATGGGCTGCCACAACGAATGGGCTGCCACAACGAATGGGCAGCCAATGCATCAAAATGCATTACAAAAATGGTAGAATGCAAGGTGCATTGGGGTGCCATTAAGAAGAAATGGCACCGCAGTGCACCAATGAATGTAACATGTGTTGCCACAAGGTAATAGTGAATGATTCCTAAAGTCTAAAAGTGAATTATACGTTAAAGCTTCATTCCAGGCAGATATAAAAAGACACAAATTAGGAAAAAAACTTAAATGCAAACCATGCTTGCCAATCAAAGCCAATCAGTTCATGTGACAAGCAACATGCTGATAGGGGAAGAGAGCAAAATGACAGAGAGATGAGCTCATCAGTCTGCTGCTTCTCCTTTCACTGTCCAGTCACAGGCTGGGGGGGATCCAGGCTAGGTTGAATGATGCCAGCCATCAGACCGAGGACATCTAGTGGTAGAAAAGATGTACTGAGGGGACAGCTCTGGATTGAAGGCAAATACAGGTGAAACTCGAATAATTAGAATATCGTGCAAAAGTAATTGCAGTAAGTGCTGCAAAAGGGGCCCAAACCAAGTACTGAGTACATATGTATGCTTGTACTTTTCAGAGGTCCGATATTGTTCTATGTACAATCCTTGTTTTATTGATTGCATGTAATAATCTACTTTTTTGAGGTTGTGGATTTGGGGTTTTCATGAGCTGTAAGCCATAATCATCACAATGATGACAAATCACGGCTTGAATTATCTTGCTTTGCATGTAATGAGTCCATCTCATATATTAGTTTCACCGCATAAGTTGCATTAGTGAAATAAATGAACTTTGCTCGATATTCTAATTATTCGAGTTTCACCTGTATGGTGCAGCAAAAACGGCTTTTTATCTTTTTTTTTACAATTACTTTTGTATTTTTGGCTGAAGGTCCGCTTAAAAGATCAATGGGTAATTTTACAAAAATATTTTATGTGAAATGAAATTCACTGAATGAATGAAGTGTCTGTTGTTGGCAAAGGAGCCATCTGATGTAGAGACCAAATACAAATTCAGGAGATAAAATGCGGATTTATTAGAAATGTTTTTCATATGAAATATTAATTGTATGTGAAAATGACAGATTCCACACCTATAGAGCATTTAAATAAAATTAACACTTCGATAAGATGAAATGATGAAGTGCGGATAAAATATTGCTTGCCATTTGAGTTGGCCCCAAAGAAAGGACTTTTTTAAAGCAATACAAAGAATAAAAGTTGGAAACAAAAATGGATGGCCTATGGGGATATGGGAGGGGCTATAAGGTTGGTGGATGGACTTATGGGGCAGTCAGAAGAGGGATAAAGAATTAGATGAGCAGTACATAGGCCACA